GGGGGGGGTTGGCTCCAACCCTCCTGCTCTTCCACAAGAGCTTAAAGAGCTTAAAGACCTGGCAAGATGTTCCAAAGGACTTGAGTGGTGGCGGAGTATTCAGCCGAATACTCTGGCCAATGGGGCCTGCAGCATGCCTCCTCTGCCGGCACAGATGGGGCAGGCCAATCCCAGCTATCTCCATCAAGCCTGGATACCTGGATAGAAAAATAGCTAGATAGACAGATGGATAATAGATAGATGACAGACAGACAGACAGACAGAGTAGAGTGCATTCAGAAAGTATCCAGACCCCCTTCACTTTTGTCAATTTTGTTATGCTGCAGCCTGATTATTGTTGAAATTCATTTTTTTCTCATTAATCTACACTCAATCCCCCATAATGACAAAGTGAAAACAGAATTTTAGAAAAGTCTGTAAATTTATTAAAAAGAAAAAACTGAAATATCACATTTGCATAAATATTCAGACCCTTTGCAACAACACTTTAAATTTAACTCAGATACCTCCAATTTCTCTTGATCGTTGCTGACATGTTTCTACACTTTGATTGGAGTCAACCTGTGGACATGATTGGGAAAGGCACATACCTCTCTATAGAAGGCCTCACAACTGACAATGCATACTGTAGTAGAGCAAAAGCCATGAGGTCAAAGGAACTGCCTGAAGAGTTCAGAGACAGGATTATTACAAGGCACAGATCTGGGGAAGACTACAACAAAATTTCTGCTGCACTGAAAGTTCCTAAGAGCACAGTGGCCTCCATAATTCTCAAATGAAAGAGATTTGGCACAATTTGGCAATTGGGGGAGAAAGACCTTGGTAAGAGAGATGACCAAGAAGCCGATGGTACTCTGATTGAGCTCCAGAGATCCTGTGTAGAGATGAGCCAGAGTTCCAGAAGGACAACCATCACTGCAGCTCTTCGCCGATCTGGGCTTTATGGGAGACTGGCTATACAGAAGTCTCTCCTCAGTGCAAAACACATGAAAGTCCACTTGGAGTTTGCAAAAAAGCACTTGATTCTCAGATTATGAGGAACAAGATTCTCTGGTCTCAGGAAAACAAGATTGAATTGTTTGGGCTCAATTCTAAATGTTATATCTGGAGAAAACCAGACACAGCTCATCATCTGCCAAATATCATCCCAACAGTGAAACATGGTGGTGGCAGCATCATGCTGTGAGGGTGTTTTTCAGCAACAGAGACTGGGAGTCTGGTCAGGGTTGAGGAAAAGCTAAATGGAACAAAGTACAAGGATATCCTCAATGAAAACCTATTCCACATGCTCAGGACCTCAGACTGGGCAAAAGGTTCACTTTCCAATATGACAACGATACTAGGCACATAGCCAAGACAACACAAGAGTGGCTTAGGAACAACTCTGTGACTGTCCTAGAGTGGCCCAGCCAGAGCCCTAACTTGAACCCTGTTGAACGTTTCTGGAGGCACCTTAAAATGGCTGTCCACTGGTGGTTGTCATCCAACCTGATGAGCTAGAGAGGATTTGCAAGGAAGAAAGGCAGAAAATCCTCCAATCTGGGTGTGCAAAGCTTGTCATGTCATACCCCCAAAAGACTCGAGGCTGTAATTGCTGCCAAAGATGCTTCAACAAAGTACTGAGTGAAGGGTCTGAATACTTTTGCTAATGTGATATTTCAGTTTTTTCTTTTTAATACATTTACAGACATTTCTAAAATTCTGTTTTCACTTTGTCATTATAGGGTACTGAGTGTAGATTAATGAGGGAAAAAAATGAATTCCAACAACTGTAGAATTGGGCTGTAGCATAACATTGACAAAAGTGAAGGGGGTCTGAATACTTTCTGAATGCACTGTAGATAGATAGATAGATAGATAGATAGATAGATAGATAGATAGATAGATAGATAGATAGATAGATAGATAGATAGATAGATAGATAGATATAGACAAACAGACAGACAGACAGACAGATAAATAGGTGACATATATTCACTACT